ACACGGGTCCAGACATTCTGGGTCTCCTTACACCAGCTTCTCACAGCAGCTTGCTGGGCGTTTGTCCCTGTCACGTTTGTAAATCGACTTGGAAGTATATAAAGTTGTCCATTTGCGCTTCGTGTTGGCTAGTGCAAAACGTTCGTTTTGTTGTCACCAAGCCACCATGAAACTAAATTTTCCGTTCAGAAGATCCATTTGACGCCCAGCTTTACCTTTCTCTCTCTGATGTCTTGGGCTCTCGCTTCAGTGTTTCAACATGATCATCTCTCTCCACGATCCTGTCTGTTCCATGAAGCGCACCGGTCCCTCCAGCAGCAAAACAGCAGCGATGCTGCTGACTCGCTACGTCACAGCAGGAGGAGAAGGTGTTCTCGGGCCCTTAGGCTTCCCCGTTTTGTTCACTCTAAATGGTCACCAAGGCCAAACACTTGAACTCTAGTTTCATCAGACCACATAATTAAGATACGGAGTATGTTTCCTTTGGGAGAAACTGCTTCTTCCTCACTGGGGAACCTTGGCATTTGATGCACACTTTTCACACCAGTCTGATGACTGGATAGTCCACGCTGTTCAAATTCGGCCCTCGATTTTCTACCTGATGATTTTCCCATGAAGTCACACAAACAATCGGTGTGTCTGAAAGCGTTGCCTTCGAGCACATCCACAGGTCTGCCTCCGTTTCACTCAAATACTGTGACTTAACCAATCAGAAGCTTATAACGCCGTCATCTCGGCTTCCCCAAATTATGTAAAAGCATTTCAATCTTAGCGTATGTAAACTTCTGAATTTCCAAAAGAAAAAAATACAAGACTCGGTCAAAGTGGACCTCAGTCATTACTCAGGCGACGAACAAACATGGATAACTTTGGGAACATTAACCAACCTGAAACAGGGAAAGTTAAATGTCAGATATAGAGAGAAAATATGTCTGCGTCTCTTTTTGTACAGGGCGTCTTTGGTTTCGGCTGTATACGATCTTTAGAGAGTGATCACAACGAACTGGGGCTTTGTTCAAATTCATATCCGTCTTTCATAATATCGACACCCCAGCTGCTTAAGATATTAGCTCTAAACTGTGACTAATCCCACCAATGCGATGGTATTTCTATGTATTTAAGATGTACTTTATAAAAGAATGATGTGTCTTCTTTTATCTGTCAGAGGGTGATAACAATAACTGCAGCTATTTAAACTCCTGCTGCATGTGCTCGGCTGACAGGCCAAGCAAGAAAGAAAGAAAGAAAGAAAGAAAAAAGAGATTTAAGAAAATATGTGGACACAGAAAACAATATGAAACATATGTATCTCAGATTCCACTGTAGCTTCACTCTGGATCTCTTTAAGAAAATCTCATGCTGACATCCACAGAAATGTGTGCCATATGTCAAAAACAAAAAAAAAAAAAGAAAAAGAAATGAATATTCAAATGAAGTAAAAACTTGAACAAACGAAATTGTTTGATTGTCGTCACGCTTCGCGCGCTTCCTGTCCAGTCGCAGAACGATCACAGTGCAAGACGATCAGAATAAACTGATCTTTTTTCCTTCATTCGATGTTTGTCAAGTGCAGAAAAAAAAAAAAAATCACCATTCACCTGCCGTCCTCCTGCCCGCCGACACATTTGCTAACAAAAAAAAAAAAAAAAAAAAAAAATCTCAGGGGGCCGGGGAGGTTTCCCCCCAAA